TGAGACAGGTAACTGTGTGGTTTCTCAGTACCCTGTAATTTTCAGTTTCGTTTAAATCATTGCTAAAGTCGGTATTTAATTCCTTCCTGTTCAGCTAGCAGATCTCTTGATAACGAAATTTGTTGATGATACGCATCTTGCTGGGAGAGCACATGACGATGATAGTCCGTCGCGAATTTCTGTAAATGGTAGGAATATGGTAAGTGACACTTTCTGTTGTTACCGGTGTTTTATCTCGCTCTTAGCCAGCGTTCAGACTTCACGAAAGCAGCTCTTCGGTCGCGCGTTTGAAGCGATCGATGCAGTAGAAAGCATGCGCATCGATCGCGTCGAACGCGCGAAAGCGGTGCCGTCGCGAAGTCTGAACGCTGCCTTATACTGTAGTTTTCAGTCTGCGTGGCCGTCTCACTCGGCGAGACATTTCCTCCGTGAATTGGTTGTGAATGCGATTCTTCTTCCCTGCCTTGATCTGATCGCTGATCCAGACACCATCAATCACCTACTGATATTGGCGTTCGATGCACAGAAAGCAGAAGATGAAGAAGTGTCGCAGCTTGCTAATAGTGTAAGTGACAGTGTGTCCTCATTCCCTAATGCCCTTATATATGGTACGTTTTTAGAGCAAAGATGTGAATTTCCTCATGAATTTCACCGAGCCTCCCTCGCAAACTGTCCCGGATTCGTTGCTCCAGTTGAAGTTGAGCGAGGTAGAAGCCCTTTGCAATTACAGTTTTTATGTTTTTCCTCTTACATTGTTGTTTTCAGTTATTGAGGGATGCACGACAATTCTCCATGTTCCGTCTGTACCTGCAAGACACTCGTGGACCAGTTCATGAACTGAGTTTCTTAGCCGAAGCTTCTCGTATTCACGACAGTATGCAGCGGAAGGTGGCTTTCTATTATGTTATATTGTGGTCAGGACATGAGTACATGCATCGTGGGCGGTAACATGAATCCGCATCGGGGAGGGTCGACTACGTCGCAAGAGCGTTTGCAAGGGTCGTATCTGGTTTAGGCGAAACTTCCACGCAAAACTAAAGCGAAGAAAATTTTTTCGGATTAATGATTTTGCGGATTTTTTGCGTTTTATACATATGCCTCCTCCCCCCCTCCTAGTTGTTGACACCGCGCAACTACTATACAGTTGACTATAATCCAGTGGTAGGTCTTTGGTGATTTTCGGTGTCGGCACTCAACCTGTCCGCTCTCCTCCATCGCTCGTTGACAACGCTTTTCTTAGCAGACTGAACATTTTTTCTGGGAATACTGAGGACGGTTGGGGTATTGCTGGGAAGGGTGTATGGGAATGGTGGAGTGTCCGTACTGAAGAACATTCGGCCAGGGTCACTAGTGACATCTCTAGTTCATCCGTCCCGATAATGTACTCTGAGAGTGGAAAATCCTCGTTAGGATGGAACAAATTGTCGCTCGACGTTGCGGATAGCTGCGCCGCAAACCCCAGGCTATTAGTGGATGCTCACCGCCCACGTAGAGCTCTATCCCCGCTTCCCTCTGACGCGGAAGCAAGCCAGTCGACTTTTTCTAATGACATAGAAAATTGTTTTAGACTGAATCTTCGGGACAAATAGCTTATGACATCTGGCAGCTTTTCGGGCAATTTGTTCACGACAGTGCCCCAGAAAAGATTGAATTTGATGAGGAAATCTGTTAGGCGAATCAAGCCGGCGAGCTCGATGCAAAACACCTTCTGCTTCTCGAAAGATTCATTGAAAAGTAAGGCAATTTTTAGTCAAAAACAAAGAGAACTTCAGCGATGAATGGCGTCATGATGTAAGAACCAGTCCTGTCCCCCTCACAGACGAGCCATTCCGTTCTGATCCCACTAGCTATACGACGGTCTCTCGACAAATCTTGTTCCATATAAGATTTGCATTGAAACATAGTGGCTCTCCAGTTACGCTCAATTTTTTTGAAGTTCTGCATCTGCGTTTCGAGGCGCTGTTCGGCTTAGGTGGGAGTGGGCACTTTGCATTTTCGCTAGTTTCTTTTGCTAATTCCTACACCTTTCACTTTGCTAATAGTAAGACTTTTACACCTTTGTCAAGTGTTAGCGAAGCTCCTGCTGCTTGATAGGTTCACAGGATTTCAAAGGTTCCCATAAATGGCATCAGCAGTAATCGATGTGAGCCAGCAAAACCACCGTGCTTTGATTTTTCTATTAGATTTGCATGATTTCAGTCATACCAAGTCGTCTACCAACGGATGCAAGCTGATCATGTGATCCCATTTTGCCAGTCTGATGCGTTTTTGGGGTGAGTTCCCAAACATTACTAGTTTGTACCCATATATTTCACAGCTTTCTAGTTAATGGGGGAAAATGTTCAGATATTTATGCGGTAGTCCACCAGTTTCCGTTAATGAGCTGATTGATCAACGCTCTGTGCCAAGGAAGTCATCAGTGTCAGGAGGCACATTTTCTTTAGCGCAGTTCAGGTAAGACTCAATTTTTTTTTCACATCTCCAATTCCGCAGTCCAACCTTGTGCTAGAAAGCGTATCATCTCTTTCTGAGAGATTCCGGTATAGTCCTTTTCACTGCGGTTGCTAGGGCGTGTCAAAGGGATTAGATTTGCCCGCCTCCCCATTATCCGGTTGTTGAAGGGGGGGGGGTGCTGGAAAATATGTTAGCGTTGTGCCGAACCAGTCTCCCCGACACGTCCGAGCATCTTCAGCGAGGAAGAGTATAGCCATTTTTGACGACGTGCGAGTGGCGTGGATCCGCGGCTGGATTCGGGCTTTAGTGGGCAGACTCCACACCTGTGTCTTAAGCGCTACAGTGCGAGTAATAAATTAGATTGTCCACATTTCTTAACGATGGAGTCGGTGTGCCAACTGAGGGACGAGCATGAGCGAGGATAGTGCGGTGGTAGTGGTCTGCTTATCATGTGCCCGGTCCGTGAGTCAGACCTCGGCTCGAATCCGGCCAAGGTCATCCAAATCTTTCAACCACCGGGGCTTTTAGATTGGACAAAACTTGTGCTGTTGACAGCATCTTGTACTCTGTAAGTCATAGTATAGGTCATGTTGCCTTCATCGAAGCTCAGTTCACCAGTTAAGAGCTCCGGCCCATTACCGATAGTTCCCCAACGGGAGCTGGAAGGGGGGAGAGTGGTGAGATGAACTTCAAAAAACTTTTGCCGATAGTAATCATGTGCAGTGGTTCAGAGAGGTTGATCTTTTCCGAGGTCAGACTGGCTTTATATCCCACCGTGGTCTAATGGGTGGGTTTGTTCATGGCGCTAAAAATATTAGTTGACAGAAGATTGGCTCTCATAAGCAAAGGACACGTTTTGCATTCACATGTTCCAACGATCCCTTTTGTAAATCGAATGCCTGGCGCATTCCAGGTAGACGACTGGTGACGACATTCTTTTAAAACTCCTTCCAAATATCCGTCACTTTATCGTGTAATGTTATTTTGAAGTTTGTGTTTTCAGATCTCAAATTACGACGAGCCATTGTTGGAGGATCGAGCGATTCCATGGAAAGCGAGGAGTCGTTGGGTTCCAGCTTCAGCGAAGTCGTAGACGATACAAAATATGAAAGTGGTGCCAGTGAAAGCGGAAAGGAATCGTCGGTGCCGATGCTTAGGAAGGTTAGTTGGAATTGCTTCAAAATATTCAGATAACCCTAGGAAGAGAAAGTGGACTAAACAAGACGTGGAGTGATTCCCTTGGGAGTGCTTCACCATTATCACCTATGCTCCTGCTGATAATCGAATTGTTTGAGCGGCCACAGTAACGTCTCCATTCGCCGTTTCTTCCATTAGGACCGCTTATGAAGGAAAATTGTGG